GAAATTTTTTAATTTGATTGAAATTTCCTAAATTCACAATTTTAAAACAAATATTCAAAGAAGTTCTTAATTTATTTAAATATTATTTAATTAAGTTATGATGAATAATGTTGAACAATTATTATGGGTATCATTATTTAGTTATGTAGAGCCAGCTAAACATTTTTCAACTTATTAGATGTTTAATTCCATGTATAAGTTTAAGAAGAATTAGTGTAGCACTTCCGTTAACTTTATCAGTAGCTGAATTAGGTGTGAATGCACAAACAACTTTATTTGTACCATTTAATCTTTCTCCATTACATGCTTCTTATATTACAAACACATTTTTCACCAGGAATATCATCACCACAAGCAGAATTATTTATACACTCATCTATATCTTCAAATTACATTGATCTACATGATTTGGTTTGTGTAGTTTAACCAATAGGGTAAAGAAGATATATGTACAATCTGCTTCGCCGTAATATCCAGGTCGTATAACTTGGGCAATGTTAAAGAGGATACATTTAGTTCCATCGGTTTTATTGGAACTGTAAATTGGCTGTTAATGGAGCTAAAGTTTTTGGTAATTTAGGCTATACACATATCAGATAAAAAATATATTAATGATAAAGATATTAAATATAATTTTATAACTAGTGCTCCATTTACTAGATGAAAGACTTGTGATTACTTTTTTTATCCAAATAGTAGTGGTCTTTATTAAAAAGTGACTGATTCAACTAGTTTAACTAAAGTGGCATCACAATCTTGTGCTAATTTGAAAATAGATTCAACTAAGATAGAAGCATAAAAGAAAATCATTATATTGTAATAGTATTAAGAAAAACTGCTATTTTCAAACTAGATGTTAAAATGGCTGTGACAATAATGGAATACATTTGTCACATCATTTATTGCTTGAGGATAATGGGGAAGCGTTGCTCTTACTAGAGCCAACACAAAAAATAATTTCTTTGGGCAAGAATAGGTTCAACTTGTATGCTGCAGCATGCGAGGATATTCCAAACCCGTAAAGTTAGGGAGATTGTGATAATCAAATCTAGCAATTTAAAGAAAATAACATATACACTCGATTGTGCCATCAGTTTAACTGTAGTACCTTGCACACAAAATGAACATAAAAGATGCTGGTGATACTTGTATGTACGATGCAACTATAAAAATTCACATATTGTAATAGCAAAGTTGATACTAAATTTGATAATTGCACTTATATCAGGTGCATTTGACTATTGAGGTTATAATTGCTTTGATATTACTGATTCAACATCATAAATTTGATTTGATTAGGAGCTTTTGATAGGAAATAAACATATATTTTAGAAACCTTTATAATCCAAATTATGGTTGTGCTAAAGTTTCAGCATCAGGAAAAAATTAGAAAGCCTATTGTAATTATTAATATCCTATACTAGTTATAAAGGTATAAATGAATGTGCCAATTTCTTAAGATAAGAAAATAAAAATGAAGCAACTTATAATGATGAAACTGAATGCACAAATGATGTTGATAGTTGAAAAAAATAATTAAACATATATAAAAAAACTACTAATTGTAGTATAAAATTTTAAAGTCATAAGTTTTGTATAAGTACCTAATATATAATCGTAAGCTTTATTTGTCAATTATTATTTAAATAGTATAATCCTGCTTTCAAGAATCTTCAAGTTGATTTCTTAAAATTACATCTTAATGACTATATGGATTAGTGATATAGCATTTAATACATGTGTCTTGATCATGTTTTAATTAGGTACATAAGGTTGTATTAAAAACCAAACTTATTCCAACACAAACACATTCTTGAATCCATACTTCACAAGTTGAATTATCTTGTGCTTGGACATTTTTGAACAGTATTTTTGTATAAAGTTGTTTCTATAGCTAATGCTGTATTTGTTGCAAAAATCTTGGATAAGCGATTAAATTTTTATAAAATCTTAATTTTTTATTCATTTATTTATCATTCCCAACCTAATTGGATTATTTTGTAATCTTCATTTTTATCGAGTGACTTGAAAATTTTTGGCTGTTTGGTTAAATAAATTTGTATTAAATTACCTTAATTTGCTCCTCGTGTAATTTCTATATTGATAATTATAATGGCCAAATCTAAGGTTAATGAAATAAAATTCTTTTAGCAAAATATTTTAATAACTAAATATTCTAGTTATGTAGATTAATAGTTTATCATTTCAAAGGATATATAAAATGATGAATTATAAGTGAATTCTTTTTCTTTCTCATTATTAAATAAATTATTCTGAAAGCAAAAAATTCTTTAAACCCATCAATTATCAATTTTTTTCAAAAGAAAACTTCCCGAGTTAATAGTCCATTTTCCAAGTCATTAAGTCAATTATTAGTTGGCTAGTATTAATAGAAATTANAGACAGTTATAAAGGTGTAAATGAATGTGCCAATTTTTTAAGATAAGAAAATAAAAATGAAGCAACTTATAGCAAGAGTTTGAAAGATTTTACAAAAAAACTACGCATTATCAATGATATAAATGCCAAAATGCAAAGCCTAAGTGTATTCAGATAATGATAATGATGAAACTGAATGCACGATTGATGTTGATAGTTGAAAAAAATAATTAAACATATATAAAAAAACACTGATTGTAGTAGTAGAAATATAAAATTTTAAAGTCATAAGTTTTGTATAAGTACCTAATATATAATCGTAAGCTCTATTTGTCAATTGTTATTTAAATAATATAATCCTGCTTTCAAGAATCTTCAAGTTGATTTCTTAATATTACATCTTAATGACTATATGGATTAGTGATATAGCATTTAATACATGTGTCTTGATCATGTTTTAATTAGGTACACAAGGTTGTATTAAAAACCAAACTTATTCCAACACAAACACATCCTTGAATCCATACTTCGCAAGTTGAATTATCTTGTGCTTGGACATTTTTGAACAGTATTTTTGTATAAAGTTGTTTCTATAGCTGATGCTGTATTTGTTGCAAAAATCTTGGATAAGCTAAGTCTCTTTTTTTCTTTAATTTTTACAATCAACTTTGGTAAAACAAGCATCCACTCTATTTTATATGTAATTAATTTATCTAATTATATCAATTTTTTATAAATAAATTATTGAAAATTGCAAAAACATGATATTACTATCTCAAAACAAACCAAACATAATCCCATCGTACTTACTCTATTTGCCCAAACTCAGAGTAGTTAAAATTATAGAGATGGATACAAGGATGCATTTTGAATTAACTTCCCAACAATCGCCATAATATTCCAAAAAACAGTAATGATTAGTAAATTTTGTTTAATAAATGCATTCATAAAATATTGTTTTTCCATATTGATTTATAGAAGCGAATTTATGCAAGATTAGGAGGAAAATTATCAATATATTATTCTCTCTAAAGGAATTAGTCTTGAATTAATCTTCCAATCATCTCAATTCCTCGATTTTTACAGATTTCAGTTTAAATTTAACTAAAATATTATAGAATGCTAACCAATAGATAAATTAATCTTAGATTTCAACCATTTAATCTTTTTTTAATTTATATTTAATGATTCTTTTACCATCAAATTAACACAGCCAAAGTTATATTAATATTTTGAATAAATCAAAAAAATACATTACTAATTGAAAATAATGTAACTATGAATATTCAATTCATTTTTTGTTACTTTTCTCCCTAACTCTTCCTTTCTTTAATTATATTCATAATTTAAAATATTATTATTAGATAATTCTAATTAATTTATGAAAATAGGATTTGCTGACTTTTTAATTAGTTTAAATAAATGAGAGAGAAATTTAGCAATTAATTGATTTAATTAGTCAGTTTGAATCCCTTTGTTTTTCAAAATACAAACTCTTACCTGCCCTTCTACTTCTATTCAAAATTATGTTTGATGAAATTTTTATAAAATCTTAATTTTTTATTCATTTATTTATCATTCCCAACCTAATTGGATTATTTTGTAATCTTCATTTTTATTGAGTGACTTGAAAATTTTTGGCTGTTTGGTTAAATAAATTTGTATTAAAGTACCTTAATTTGCTCCTCGTGTAATTTCTATATTAATAATTATAATGGCCAAATCTTAGGTTAATGAAATAAAATTTTATTGATTATAGTATCTAAATTAACCATAGTTATATCATTTATTCAATATCTTCTCTTTTAGCAAAATATTTAAATCATAATTCCAACTAAATATTCTAGTTATGTAGATTAATAGTTTATCATTTCAAAGGATATATAAAATGATGAATTATAAGTGAATTCTTTTTCTTTGTCATTATTAAATAAATTATTCTGAAAGGAAAAAATTCTTTAGACCCAGGACTTATCAATTTTTTTCAAAAGAAAACTTCTCGAGTTAATAGTCCATTTTCCAAGCCATTAAGTCAATTATTAGTTGACTAGTATAATTAGAAATTCTTTTTTTTTCTATTAGTAAATTTTGAGAAAAATCTATAAGAGTGCAAAGTATTGTAAATTTGATTTACTTGCTAATATTATTTCAGTAATTATTAAATGAAAATCTAAATGCTTTAGAAAGAAAAAGTTAATTTTGTCAGACTAATTTAATTTTAATAAATCTATTTTAAAACATAAATTACTCTATTTTTTTCTAAATAATGATAAAAATTCATTAATTAAAAATTTTTATGAGACTAAATGATTCAAGACAAATTTGGAGTATTTATTTTTTGAGAATCAATAAAACTTTAAATACTATAAATCAGAAGGTGAAACTTTTGATCAATTATATTAAATTTTCGATAGGTGTAAAACACATAAGATTTATCATAACAAGTTACTCCATCAAAATTAGAATTTGATTTATAGAATGTATTGATTTAGATTTCTATTGGTATCTCATTTATAGTTATGATAAGCATGTAAACCGAGATAATGCTAAAAAAAATTCTCAAGAATAAATGGCAAAATATTTACTATTTATGAAGAAGCTCAAATAAAATACATGAGAAATCAAGGACTTTTAAATTTAAAACCTAATGATATTGAAAAAATTCTTACAACTTTAATATGCCCTCAAACGAATCATGTATCTATTTTAACCATAAGCTTTCTGAAAAAGCTCAAGTCTTGGTAGATATATGGAATAAGCAATGGGATTCTATAAAAAACACATTAAGAAATTTAAATCAAGTTGTTTTCTGAAAAGTATCACACACAAAAATGTTTCTTCTTAGTGTTTTCTTGAATAATTCAATAATAATCTCCATAATTCTTACAGAATAGATGATCTTAATGACGAATGCACTATTGTTAAAAGTAAAATTATAAATATTCTTATACCTATATTGGGCTTACAAGATTAAAAACAAAAATTACACGATTCAATCTAGATAATATTTTTCAAATAATTCGCTACAAAGAACAAAGTTATGAATTTTATATATAGTATTACTTAATGTCTTCTCAGCAATAAATCCCAAAATATGAGAATTCTTTTCTTGCCATATTATAAGTATGAAATTTTCTTATCTCTCCTCTCAACCTTCTAAATCCTCATATTCCATTTTTAATGTATCTATGACAAAATAATTTATTCCTTCTCTTTTGAATCATTTCTTTGAGAATGAATCAAATTCTGAACATTATTCATAAATCTCTAACTTATTTATGGAAAAGATGTTTTAATCATCTATTTTTGTATTTCTTGATTTTTATAAAGTTGTTTTATAAATTTTACCAGTTAAGGTTTACATAATAAGTTTAATTTTTAATCATCCTGCAAAACCACTTTACAATCTTATTTAGTGACATTCCATTAATTAAAATAAAACCATATTGTTTAGATTTCATGATTTTATTTTAGTGAATGCAATCTTTTATTCAATAATGAAAAAATTAAAATTGTATTAGAGTGCACCATTTTTTATGTAACCTATACATTTTTGGATTAAGAATTTATCCAAAATAAGAATCCTAGTGCATTATTTAACAAATATAAACTATATTATTTCATAATTAGCAAATGATGTAATAATGCATAATTTAATTTGGCAAAGAAGGATCTTAATTATACTTCTCCTAATTTAATTCTCTTAGCTCTCATTTTTGTTGAATTCATTAATATTTTGATTTTTCATTTTTTGTTAAGTACTAATCAAAATATAAACTAAATAACCAGAATGATTTTATTAATATACATAGCAGACAATTTAAATATAATAAATGAAGAAAAAGGATAATATTATTTTTGAAATAATTTGCTAGCAGAAAATTTAAAAACATAAGTTATTAAAATTATTTATTGTTATATCATATCCTTAAACTACTATTTAAATTTGAATATTTCCTTGGTAAAGTTAAATTATTGACAAAAATCTTAAGTATTATTATGATTTAGACTGTTAGTGAGTAAAGGTTAACATCAAAATAAATGATGTTTTTATGATGTCTATTTAATTTAGGAATTCTTGCTTATTTTTTAACAATATTTATTACAATTTATCAAATATCCATTCAGAAGAGAATGATAAGTTAAGCATAGTAAAAAATTAATGTTAAATTTTCTTTCAATAATAAATTAAAATGTTATACTATATAACATAGAAGATGAAATTGCACTGTTTAGTATATAGTGTCATTTATTCAATATTAAAGAGATAAAACTCATAATTACTAATGATCATCTTTTTAATTTTTCTTATAAGCCTTAAAATATGCCGTTGTCTCTTTATAATCATTTCATGAACTGGAAAAATTATTTAATTGGAATAATCGGATTCTATGAAATATAGATTGTTAATTTTTAAGTTATTAAGCAATTTAATATTGATTTGGTTTGATTTTTATATGTTCTAGTCAAGAATTTAGGAATAGAAATTGGAACAATTTCAATATAAAATAGAGATTCTTTAGATTTCAAAAGAGTAATTTTGTTTTGTCTTTATTAACAATTTACGTTGAAAATGTTTAGATAACAAATAATTTATATTAATTTTATCGAAAATTTTTTTGCATTCTTATATAGTTAATACTATAACATGTGCTACTATGAAAATAACAAAAACAGTTTAAAATATTCTATAAAATCTCTTTTTAAATATTCAATCTTATAAAATTGTTGTAATTAATTTAACAATTAATAATCATAATCGTTAAATTAAGAAATATTGTTTATGTATTATGAAATACATAATTATGTAAATAAAGAGAATGTTAATAGTTTAATTATTAAAATCCTTAAATGTAAAATATGGAGGTGCATTTTAAATATCCAGAGTATTTTTGAAATAAATATGATTTAAAGAAGGATAAATTAAGCTAGACTAGATTTAAGTATCTTAAGTTTAAAATAATAATATATCATTAATTACAAATATTTCAGGTTGTATAAGATTAAACTCCTGAAATAGTATATTAAATCTTTCAAGAAGAATAAATAATTTTAGAATATTAGCTTTTATTTTTACAATATTCCCATCACAAACTCAAAATATCTCTAAATATTTGAAATATATTTCTCTGTTCTGTTTGCAATTTTCTCTTTCAAATATTCAAACTAATTTCTAAATGTCATCTAAATAAACAATCATTTAGAATGAAGAGTAATGGATGTAATATTTTTTCATATAGAATAACATTGAAAGTATCTGAGATTGCTTTTTAACTCAATAAACTAATGCCTTATATTATGTTTCGAACTGTTAAATTATTATTAAAGGAGTTATTATAGAAGGGTTATACATTTTTCCCTTTATGAAATTCATAATATTATTAAACTTCTTCTATTTAATACTTACTTATAAAACATTCAACTCTTTATTCTTTTAATATTATTGAAGTAGATTAAGATCTAGGTATTAAAAATATTATGTCATTCAAATATGTAAACATCTTCAAACTTCTTAATTCTAATCCTTTACAATTTTATTTATTCCATAAAATTTACTCATTATTATCCTGATAAAGTTTTAGCAATTGTGTGTCATAAAGAATAATAATCAGAATTTAATTAATTATTACTCAGAATAATTTAAGAAATGAATTATTAATAAATTCAAATCTATCTATCAATAGTTATAGTTATAACTTTTACAGAAGGAGTTGATATTTATTCTATATACAATCTTTTCATTTCAAGATTTCCTGAAATACTCTAAACTAATAATTATAATGAAGTTTTTTCAATTTTCACCTAATCCTTATAATATCCATTATCAATATTAAAGATAAATAAGTACAGATATAAATATATATGATCAAAAAAAGTAATGAACAAATGAACGAGCAAAAAAATTTACAATAGAACTAGATTGGTAAGTCAAATATTCACTTCCAAAAAGCTTTTCCTAAGCCAAATTCATAATCAAGATATATAAATTTTTAATTATTTACTCTATTCAATATTTCTTGTCTCATATGTATATAAATGTATATCAACTTATATTTCAATTCAAATAATTTTCTTCATCCCTAAATAAATTAATGCTTAAAATTTACAATATATTTTCTCCAAACATTTAATACCATATGCCAACTTTTTTTCCATTAAGATATTCACCACAATAAAAGACTTATCCATACCTAATAGATATTTTTCTCAATTTTACTCATAAAATCCCTCGATTTCTTCGATCCACTTTCCGACCTTAATCGAATCACCCATATGATTATCTTTTAACTTTTCATATTGTCCTCCTCCACTTTAGCAAAACACATGAAATTTTATTTGGAGAAATATTAATAACTATTACATCAAATCATCCTTATAAAATATATTCCATCTTCCTACTTTTTTACCATTTTCATATTCCCCTTTATAAGTGACTTCACTATTGCTAATAGCGATAATTAATCCCAATAAATTACCTCTTAAACCCATCACTCAATTCAATCCATATACCTGTCTTTAATGAACCCAAAAGATTTTAATCATTAATTTTTTCAACAAATGAACCACCACCACTAAATTAAGAAAAAAAAATGTTATAGTAAAATACATCAATTGAATTTTTTCAGCATCATCATCAAAATAATAAATATCCCATTACCCTACTTTAATACCATTTTAGTATTCACCATTATAAGTGATTTTGCTATCTCTAATAAACTAAATTAAATGCAATACCTCCAGAACCCTTCACTTAACTCAATCCACTTGCCTATCTTAAGTGAATCTGAAACAGTATGACCTTCTAGATATTTATCATAAGATCCTCCACCACTAAATTCAGGAATGAAGAGTTAATAAAAATAATTACATTATTTCAAAAAGTTTATTATTTCTTATTCTGTGTAATGTATCCCATCTACCAACTTTTCTCCCATTTTTATAATCACCGATAAGTAAAACTTAAGCCAAACTTAGAAAATTATTATTAATAAAAAATAGTACTCCCAAAACTTATCATTCAACTCAATCCATTTCCCAACTTTGATGGAATCTACAATTTCATCTTTGTCTTATATTTAATTATATAATCCGCAAGCACTAAATTTATTTAAAATTTTCAATTTACATTTATTTTAATTATCTCTACCCTTTCCCTTTATATAAAACATTCCACAGACCAAATTTTTTGCCGCTCTTATATTCACCTTCATAAATGACTTAACTTTAACTATTAATTAAAATTCAAAATTTCTTTTTACTTCCAAAAGTTATCACTCAGCTCTAGCCATTTACCATTCTTTTCACCTTACTCATCATATGAACCTCCACCTCTAAACAACTAATAAATTGAGAAATACATTTCACTATTTTTGTAGATATACTTCCAAATTCCGCTTCTTTAATTATTAATGTAGAGCCCCACTTCAAAAATTTGTGCTTCACTTAATTTCGATTTATAACTAAATTCTACCTCCAATAATTTTTTGATAAATCTTTCCATAAACCTTACTTCTATCCACACTGAGAGTAATATCCACCAACTTCTTAAATGGTTTAATTATTCCAGTCCGCTGTCCACCTACCTACTTTAAAAGAGTTCTGCCCGTATTTTCCAGACCACTTAAGATTATTAATCTATTCTAAATTATTAAAGATTTCAGGTTTTTAGAAAGAATCAAGTACTTAATCACTGAATATGGGGAATAAAAATACGTTCTAAGAATCTATCCATCTTTAGTGTGCTTGATTTTCTTTTCTTTAGTAAATGTAATTTAGAATTTAATAGTCTTATACTTTAAGTAACTAGAATCCCAATATGTAAATTCATGTTCT